AGGTTGCATACCATAAAATTGTATCAAAAAATGTTATAAAATCGAGAAAAAATATCCAGATGTCTCAGAACCAGCAAAATTCAACAACAGAAAGAAGGAAATAAAATGCAATGGATCTGATTATTGCAGATTTATTTTTTTACTGACAAAGAAAATTCTCCTTTATGCAAATGTAATTAACAATCATCATATTGCATTGCTTATTAATAAAAAAAACATTGTTTGAATGAATTTTACATTCAAGGATATGTTTTATGAATCTTTGTTTTTTTTCTGATTGGCATTGAACAAGGTAAATAATCCCACCTTATGTTGGAACATTATAAAAACATTACCAATTAACTTATTTTCAGTAAAAAAAATCAAATAACAAATCCTTGAATAATTATTGTTAAACACAATTTGAAAAACAAATAATAAATAAATATTTACAATATTTTCATTTACAATAACATTTTTAAAAAATGCTCACTTTTAAGATTGTTAATTGGACTAATGCTTGGTTTCTTACTTCACTATAAAACTTATAAAAATCAATTCTGTACTATAAACCAAAAAATTGATCAAATAATTGATAAAATAGAACCAAAAACAAGCCAATTCAAAAATAAAATAAACAAATTTACTGATGATAAAAAATATTCACAAATAATTGAAAATTTATAGAATGATTTCAAACAACAGACTGAACTGAATCCAAATTTTTCATTCAGTGAAATAGTCATTGAAATTTGTGAATTACTTGGAGAGGGAAAAGGCATTGTTGCTTCCACAATAAAAAACTTTTACCAACAAAAAACAAACCCTAAGAAAAGAACAGTAGATGCAATTCAGGAGTGGGTTGAAAAAGAAAAGAAGAAGAGATAGAGAGTGAGGTTGACAAAGATAATGAAAACAGTGAAAATATAAATATTAGTAATAATATTATTATCAATAATAATAGCAGTAAAGGTTAGATTTTTGTCAGGGTGCCCAAAGAATAGGTAATACTTACAAATGGCTTTATGTCTGAGTATTTCCCTCCCATGCAAGCACTCTTTAACTTATATTTTTATAAATTATTTATGTATTTTTCTATTATTAGTTAAATTAAAATAAAAATAATATTCTTTTGTTATTTGATTTATATTTAGTAATTTGTGGATATTATGAGAGTATCGAATTGAATTTCATGATTCCTGGACATACTAAATTCAAATGTGATGGTAATTTTGGCATGATTAAAAAACTCTACAGAAGGACAAGAGTAGATTGTCTTTATCATGTGGTTGAGGTGATAAAAAAGTCTAGTCCAGAAGGATTGAATAAAACTCAGTGTTATGAAGGTGGAAAAGGTTTTCAATACTTAAATATTAAAGCAATTTTGGGAATTTATTTTAAGAAATTACCAAGTATACAGAAATACCAACATTTTCTTTTTGAAACATCTAATCTTGGTACAGTGAAAGTTCAAGAAGTTGCTAATGGATCTTTTGCTGAATTCAATTTATTGAAAACCAAGAAAGCAGATATTTTTGAAGAGATTAAAGCTTTATCTATTTTAGTTTTAACACCACCTCCTTTGGACTACAAAAGGCAAGAATATCTTTATCATAATATTTGCCCGTTTGTCAGAGATGAGTTTAAAGATATTACTTTCCAAGACCAATCTATACTGGCAATGAATAAAATATTTAGGATAAAATCACCTCTAATGACTTCATCTCTTGTTAATTTATCCCTCACTGTCATTAAGTTTAATAAGTTTAATCTTTTGACAAATATTGTTGGCCTTTTCCACTTTTAAAGCAAAAAAGTACTAAAATAATTATATACTTAATGTACCCTTTTATGAAAAAGATACAAGTATATTAAATAAATAAATAAATAAATAAAAAAAAGAACAAGCAAGTAAATCATGAAAAACATAATAAATGAACAACAAGCAAATAAAGAACTATTAAACAAAATTGCTGATTTAGAAAAGCAGTTAGAAGTTTCAAAGATTCTGGTCTTTCAGGGCCTGTAAATCGATCTGTTGGACACATTGGGATAAAGATGTGAATGCTGCACATGATCATTTTTTTACATATGGACACTTACAATGGAGGGAAAGAAACCAGATCCATTTACAGTGTGTAACAGAAAAATAAAATTGAACACTGTTAAATAATTACTGCATTAATTCACATGAAAAAAGCAGAACTTTTATTGGATACACTTTAGTATAAAATACTTTCACCATGCTGTCATCTTGATTTTTTGATCAGATTAAATGAATTAGAAATAAATCAGGAATTAGGTCCCACTTTTCAATGATAAATCTTGAGGCTTTTAACTTCTGTTTCATTATTTGGTTGCAAAAGTTTTTAAAGAAATAAAAGAAGAATGAATGAATGAATTGTGAGATTACAACAGTAATCCGCATCATTAACATACTCTATTACCTACTATAAGCCATATCACCTGTTTGCTTCAATTTATTAATATTGAAATAGAATTCGAGAATGGGATGCTTATAATGTATCCCTTTATTCTAATAATATAAGTGCAAAAAAAAAACAATATTCAACTTTATTATACATTTTTCAATTAGGAATGAATGATTCAAAAATTTATTTGTTTTTGTTACAGGAATCCTAAGATTATCCAAGTTACAAGCTTAGTCCTAATCAAGATAAGCATCCCTTATATACAGTGGTAACAGGTCCCTGCAAACTTCATAGATAGGTAGGTCAGTAACAAAAATTCCTGTTTGTTATATGATTTGACCCAGACCAAAATTAAGTTTATATATAACTTGACCCTAAGGTTTGCAATAACATTAGAAAAAAGAACATAATTTGACCCATTAAAAATTTTGAAACTGTATACTGTAACAAAAACAATTTTACCAATCAATTGATTTAACTGATAATAATTTACTGTTTTTTATAATTTATAATATTTTATTATTTTTTTTTAATATAAAAAAGATTTACTATAAGAAAAAATCTTGTTACACAAAATTTTTGGTTCGTTGAATACTAATAGATTTGGCCCCTATTAAACCTAACCAACCTTTTGATGTGATAATAATTTTTATAACTATGTAATATTTCAAATAATAAAGAATTTTATTGCGGGGCTTGTCATTTAAACCGTACATTCTATTTCGTTCGTTCCTTTATATTTTCCTTCGCCTGGACCATATGCTTCACCATCATAAAAAGTTTTTACCTTTACAAAAAAATATTTTCGAAAAACTTTATTACTTTAAGAAGTGTGTTTTGATCTACCTGATTCATATAAACTTTTTGGTTTACGAACCATCAAATCTTCTCTATTATTCAATTTAAGTTTTTTAAGTTCTGAATACACATGATCAATTGATTCACACAACTTTTGTTCACATATTTTGGTCGATTAAGAAGAGCAACAACGTTGTTATTAAAACAAATATCAATGTTCGTAAATGTTTATTCATGATTGAATATTTCCTTATCTCTGTGTGTATAGAATGTGTTGAATATATAATAAACGACTTTCAAATTTAATATTAATGTTTTTTAGTGTATCAAAATAATTCTTAAAACAGACCAGTTTCGGGCGGATTAAGTGTTAACCTGAAATTTGGATCGGTCTCGGATCTGATATTACATTTGCATTAATTAATACTAAGAAAGTAAGCAATATGCATATGAAAATTCATATTCTAATTAAAGATTTTATTTTGAGATGATAAGTTTTAGATAAGTTTAAATGAATTTTTTGTGTTTATCACATAAGATTTGTTCACCTAAATTTTATTAATTAAATATAAATAAAAAAACAGTTATAATACTAGTTAATATACATGTCGTTAAAATTAAAGCAATGCATGTGATGTTGTGCGTGACGTAAAGACACAATCTTGTGATCCAAGGCGTAATTCATGACTCAGGAGGTAATTTATGACGCAAGACGTGATTCAAGACACAAAACAAATTCGTAATGTGTGTATGAATTAATTCAAACTTTTAACCATATGTAAACTTTTTATTTATTATATGGAAACTTTAGAGGGGTTTGAATGTAACATAATCAGAAAATTCTTAATTGTCATGAAACATGCTTGCGCCACGAATTGGGTCTTACATCTTGCGTCAGTTGTATAAATTATAAATAATTTTGACCACAAGTATAATTGGTACAACTCGAAACTGGACCGAAAATTTCGGGCTCCCGGGCCATTCGGAATTTTAATTATTCTTATTCTATATTCTTAATATTCTTTAATAGTTACAATTTTTTCGAGACAAAGTTAAAAGTGGTGTGGTTAACAAACAACCTTTGAATATTAATTAAAAAACATTTTTATGACCATATAAATATGTTAGAATGAAAAAAATATTTCAATATTTACTAGAAAAAAATTTGCTAATTCTGATAACTATTTGATGATATTTTGGCACCCACATAATATTACATATGACGGTTAAGTTTTCTTATACCACAAGGATGTTTTTGTAGAAGACAATCTTTTTAAGGAAACATTTTTCTATTAATAAACTAATTCTCCGCGTTCATCTCTAGTAGCTATTGAATTGCTAGAATCTTCTGCATATTCAGGAATTTGAGGTAAGCCTTGTTCTTTTAGATCTTTGTTGTTTTTTACCTTCAAAATATGTAAACATTTATAATCTTTCATTTGTAAAAAGAAATAATAATAATTTAGTCAATTAGCCAAGAATTAGACAACAACACTACTCGTTTGTTATATATATATATATACAACTTTATAATTTAATTTAATATTTTAACAAATAAATAAATATTAGTTGATGATAATAATTAGTAAATAATAATAAAGCTTTCACCAATTACCTCTTTGTATATATATGTACCGTATAGTCCCGAAAGATAGCACTCCTATTTTAAAATTATTTGTTACACGATATAAATGAAGGATGCTATCTTTCGAGACTATACGGTATATACTTGCGATAAAAATTTTACCTGAAACGTAATTTTTTCCTATCTGTCAAACAATATTAACTGTTGATTGAAACATCTCACAAACACCAAAAAGTTCATCATCAAGAATATGACCTTCTATAATTAATATATTAAAAACACTGATGATAACTTACCAAAATCAATTTAGATGCCCAATATGAGTCAATTCCTGATGGTATATAACACTCCCGGTTTATTTCTTACCCAACCCTGGAAACGTAAAAATTTTGATCCAACCGGATGGTTGATTCTGAAAAATTAGACGGTGTAAAAGTTTTCTGGAATGCAAAATGTGGTAAATTTTTATATATTCTATCAGATTATTTGTTTTTTTAAATTATATTATCATGGTCGATGATGATGATGGTGATGATGATGATGATGGGTTGATGGGGTTTCTATTCGTAATACAAAGTCTTATTCGAATTATTCGTAATACAAATCAATCTTAATTCGAATTATTCACAGCTTGATGCAACAGATTCTATATTTGTTGTTGTTGTTGTTATTGTTAAGGGATTTTAACTGTTTGTAAAATTATAGATAAGATCTCGTTTCATTTAACAAGATAATATAAATTACAATAGTTATATTCATAATCTATATTACTACTATCAAAAAAAATAAAATAAAAATGTCATATACAAGGAATATTTTTAATTGGATTGGCAATGTGCATATTAGTTTTATTTGTTATTATTACTATTATTAATTTTATTCGAATTATTAATTTTACTTTATTCGAATTTCCTCAAATTTTCTGAATTATTAATACTAATACGCTATTATTAATTTTGAAACTATTACTATGGTTGATCATTATTATCATTGTCGTCGCCACATAATCATCGCGTTACCATTTTTAGTTGTTTTTGAATCACGTACTTTTTTTTTATTTGGATTTATCAACTCTGCTCATCTATAGTTTCAAGTCCTCATAAACAACATATCTTGTAATAGAAGGTTCAACTTGAAATCCAATATTTTCAGCTCTTTATATGTATTGATTGGTATTTGAAGAAGTAAATGGTACCAATAAATACCACTATATCTTTCATTTTCTTGCTCTAAAAATTAGTACGAGAGAGTCAGTAAACTTTTTAAAAAATAAATTAAACACGCAAACTAACAAGTTTATGTTTTTTTTTATTTAACAAAATTTGGCCAATTAAAAACAAAATGTTAAAGAATTTATTTGATAATTTGAATTGTCAATTCACCCTTTTCGCCATTATTATGATTAACTAATAAAGGACTTAATTTTTGATATACATGTTTTAACACAATTTGTTCATTTGCCTCTGGTTTAATTTGTATACACATTGTACCAATCAATTGTCCATATGAATTTTGCCAAAAATGAACTGAAGTAAGTGATAATATATTTGTATCAAGTTTTACCTATAAACAAATTAATATATATAAATATAAAGATTATACTTATCAATCAATCAATCAATCAATTGATTGAAATTACCTCTCTCAAATAATCTTCCAAATACATTGATATTGAATCAGGAGTTGTTTGTAATAGTATTTTTCCTAATGATGTTGCAATAGGACAAGCTAAATAAAACATAAGCATTGATTCTATTATTGATACAACTTTATCCAACCATCCCAAGTGTTGACTTAAAAAAAAATTAAAATAAATAAATATATATATATATATATATATATTAATGTACAAATATGTATAAACGTTTATAGTACTTTTTTTCCATAAGTTTTCCAACTATAATTACACTTATTCCACACATCAACACTGTTAAAGTGAATAAATTATTGAATATTATTAATGATATACCATCATCTTCCTTATCATTATTATTATTAAAATATGATGTTGAACTTATTCTTCCCTTTATGAATGATGATTTCCATACTATTTGTTATTCAATAAAAAAATTTTTTTTTCTTTTTGTTAATTAGAATGATTTAATTAATATAAAAAGATAATAAAAACAATATATATATATAATTACTTAAACTAACATATACAAAATCCTTTATGATTTCGATAATTAATTGCTGATATTAAAGTTACTCCAAGTGCAAATATAACCCAATATAATGGAAATACAAAACTATGTAGGAATTATATAGTTAGTTCATAATCAATTAAAAATGTATAGCCAAATAAATATATATCATGTAAACATATTTATTAATGTACTTATGATCATAATGTTCCTCACTTGTCTCCAGTAATAGATGTTCTAAGCCTTCTTTTAATATATATAAGGCAACAAATAATAAATATAAAATATTTATAAATCCAAATAATATTTCATATCTTTGAATTCTAATAATAGAAATAATAATAATAATAAAACAATAAAAATGATTATTAACTATAAATAATAATAATAAGTCATAAATTTCTCAAAAATAAATTTATTTACCCAAAAGGATTTTTAATTGTTGGTTCTCTTAACGATCTATAAGTAATTAAAACTGTTGAAATAAAAATTGTGAATATTCCCATGGCATCAAATATTACTAAATAAGCAAAGCCTGTTAAAGCTAATAAAAAAAAAGTTTTAATTTATAGAATAAAGAATCAAATAACCTTTCTTTTAAATAGTGATATAATAGTAATAATGTAATGATAAAATTTTACCTAATCCATTCCCCCATTGACCTTTTAACCATAAAAATATTCCCAACAGCAAATGTATTATCCCCCATGTGAATAATGTTTTTTGTGATGGAGGTAATGAGGAAAATATATATGAAATGGAATGCATTATTATTAGTTAGTATTGATTAATTGGTTAGTATTATTGGTTCAATGACTCGAGAAAAACGCGCAGTTGCATGAACTTCAAAAAACCCGTGCAAAGAGTTTTTGCCTTTTTTAGTAGCGTTGGTCATCATTCCCTCTAAATTGAACCAATCAATTGATTGGCAGATAATAAATTCATCTAAATTATGAACTAATGAATGGGATTCATTATTAATTACAATAATAAATAATTAATGATTTGAAAAGAACAACAACAACTCTTTATGTTAGTAAATATGTCTTACACTTTCATGAACACAATGTGGCTGGGTACGTTGAAAGATATGGACATGATGGTGGTAGGATCCTGGGGAATTCCATAATGTTGAATGATATAGTCTTCACGAATATCTCTTTGAGGATCTTATTCCGTTATAGTAGTACTTACAAGGTTTGGTTTCCTGCTGATTGTTTTGTTAAGTCGAAAAACAAAAACAAAAACATTTATTTATATTATTCACAAATATTTGATTGGTCTTTTGTAGAATTTGAAGATAGAACAAATATGCAGAGGTGTTTATAATGAATATCATGGTGCCAATGTTGAAGGCCATAGATTAAGATATTCAATCATCTAGGAACAACTCCATCACCACCTCATTGTACAATAGAAAATTATTACCCGTGATAAAAAAATATTATTTATATATTTTGAATTCAATCATCATTGTCAAACTCTGCTGTTAACACAAGAACTAAACCAAAGCTAGAAAAAACTTTAATTCAGAAACAGCTACTGGAGACAATATTAATAATGTTAGTAATATAATCTTGATGCTGTGACAAATATTAAGGATGTTTTAAGTGCAGGCAAATATAAATTGTCTGCGCAATTATTAGAGAAATACCATGTAGATGATGATTTTAAAACTGGTTCATGTCAAAAAAAATAGATCAAATGATAGTAATGATAATCTACAAAAGTAATCATTACTATAAATAAGAATTAATATTTGGTTATCTTGTCAATTTTATCACCAAGAAATAATGTTAATGAAAAGAATGTAATAATTATCTTTTTGCAAGTCTTGAAAATTATCAAATGGTTTATTGATTTCCAAAACTGAGCTTAATACTAACCAAAATAGCTTTCTTTCATCATTTCATATTTTTTAAAAATATGCATTTTTTATTTCTAGTTCTTGTTCATTTACTTCCTGATCTTAACTTACTTTCTGTAGGCATAGTACCATTAAATGTGCTTACAGATTCATTTAGGTGCAAGAAAGAGGCAGTAATCAAGAGCTAAAGTAAATTCATCAACTAATTAATTGACAAGCACCAAATTATTGTGAGTTTCCTATAATTAACTGACAAAAGTAGCCTTTTAAGCCATAATTGTTGATCAACCAAAATGATGCCTTGCAATATCAAGAATCAAAAAGTTTACTTCAAAACATTATAATTCAGCTTTAAGAATAAAATAAAAAAGATTATAATGAATAAATTTATAGTCAATTCTTTAATCAATATTGTTAGTAGTAATTAATAATGAAATTTTTATTCATCTTTGTTAACATTTTAGAGAAAAGAGTTAAATCAAGATTATTTAACAAATTATCATTACTTGTATAACTTTTTGAGAGCTTTTATATTTAGCAATCTTTTCATCTAATATTTCTAATATTCTACTTATTATATGATATTAGTGTTCCATGTTGCAATCCAAAAAAGGAAACAAAATGGTCATAAGGGTGGTTGCAACCAGCAGTTGCAATCATTTTTATATGACGCAAAGATGGTAGCAACCATCATCAAAAGTTGCAGCCGGTATCCTTATATGATATGCATCTGGATGTGATTTATGTACTTGTTACGAATCACTACCACCACTGCCATCATTATTAAAATCAGCTTCCATGTTGTTTGATGTTAGAAAATTTCTAATAATCTTTTTATTAAACTATTATTGTTACTATGAATTTATTTTGACTTTTTTTCAGCAAAATCATAAAACTCTCACCTAATGCGGACATTTTCCAAAAGGCTTATCCTATCTTACCTGGACTGTGGTGAAATAGGTTAACCCTAGGCTGGACAAATTCCAATGGAAAATTCGCTAAAATCATCCGGAGCATTCACTATATTCACTGTGATTATCTGTGATTATCACCAGGTAAATATGCCCCCGGCAAGGTAATATAGGATAAAGCCTATTTTGTACAACTTCCCCTTACTATCCCTGTCCGCATATGTGCTGAAAACTCTTCACTACAGTCATACCTCTTTTATATCCCCTTATTTATATCCCAACCTTGATTAAATTCCCACAAATGAGCTGTGACGGATTTAATATAAACTTTACCTCGTTTATATTCCATCAAGTTATATCCCTATCCCCAATTTTTTGGCATCATTATATCCCAATTTTAACCTTATTTGTACATGATATACATGTGTAACTTACAATATTTTCTTTTGACAGTTTTTTTTGGTGGCAACTTGGTTGATTTCTTTAACAACAAAGAATTAATTATTAACTATTGTTTTCTTGGTGGTAAT